GTGACAGTGTGTCTGTGTGTATGAGCACTGGGGGGTGCTGGGCTAGAAAGCAGAGAGAACATGTGTGAGTGTGACAGTGTGTGTCTCTGTGTCTGTGTATGAGCATCGGGGGGGAGTGTGCTGTGCTAGAAAGCAGACAGACAGAATATGTGTGAGTGTGACAGTATGTGTCTCTGTGTCTCTGTATGAGTATCCAGGGGGGTGCTGTGCTAGAAAGCAGTCGCAGGTCAGGGCTCCCAAAGGGTCCTTAGGCTCAGGAAGCTCTGAAGACCGACTCCGAGCCAGAGCTTCCCTCAGCCACGGCCTGGAGAAGGGTAGTCAATGTCCTGCCACTTCCTGTCCTTCCCCATCCCCCCTCCCTGTCCCCATTCTGTCCCTGTCCCTGTCCCAGCCCCATCCTGTCCTCATCCCCCATCTCTGTCCCCATTCTGTCCCTGTCCCATCCTGTCCCCATCCCCCATCCCTGTCCCCATTCTGTCCCTGTCCCATACTGTCCCCATCCCCCATCCCTGTCCCCATTCTGTCCCTGTCCCATACTGTCCCCATCCCCCATCCTTGTCCCCATTCTGTCCCTGCCCCATCCTGTCCTCATCCTTCATCCCTGTCCCTGTCCCTGTCCTCCATCCCTGTACCCTTTCTCATCCCTGTCCCCTTCCCCTTCCTCGTCCCTGTCCCACTCCCCTTTCACAATGGCCCTTTCTCCCACTTTACAAACGAAAGGCAGCCTGTCACCCAGCACACACCTACCCACCTGCCCACTGCCTGCCCACCCACCTACCCGCCCACCTGCCCGCCCACCTGCCCGCCGCCTGCTCCCCCACCTGCCCGCCGCCTGCTCGCCCACCTGCCCACTACCTGCCCACCCAGGGTGAAAAGCCCCAGGGTGTCAAGCCCCAGGGTGCCACAGGTTCAACTGGAAGCTGCGGTGTGGATGCTGATGCCTGCATGACTCTGCCCCCAGGAAGGCCCTGCTGCAGGCGCTATCAGTTCCCGGGGTTCAGCAGGACCGGGGGATCCCAAAGAGTTGTCTGGGGAGAGCCCACAGCGACGGGCAGGTGACTCAGCAAAGGCCCAGGAACTAACAGTGCCAAAAGAAAACCCCGCCAAGGTGTCTACATACGCAGGGCTCCCAGCACTTAGCCTGTAAAAACGAAGACTTGTCTCAGTCTAGGGGGAGTATTCCTCATCAAGATCCTGGGACAAATCACCTAGATAAAAACCCATCTAATAGCTGCATTTCAGTAAAATGTTACTTTTATATCGTTTTGTACTAACTTTTTAAAAACTCAATCTAGAAAACATTTTAAACATTCAGTGTCCTATGGCCACAGGAAATGTAAAAATTGAGGTTTCCACCCAAACACCCTCTTTTGTTGCAGACACAGGACAGAGAGGTCCATGGCAGACGCTCAGGCATACGAGCAGACCTCAGGACAGAGTCCCTGGCACAGCGGAATAAAGTCTGCACTGAGCAGAAAAGGGGTCGAGCAGATTCCCAACAGAGAGAACCTCTGTGGGTTTCACTTGTACGATGGTAGACATCAGATTATTATAGTTGGACTCCACCGGACACATTTAAAAGACACAACAGCTTTACCTTCAAATGACAGCATTCAGTACGGCAGAGAACAGGCCTCGCGGCTGGTTAAATTTACAAGCCAACATAAAAGTGGACCTGACAGACGGTGCGGCCCTTATCGACGTTACCGAGGGATCCTGAGGCCCCAACCGAGAAGTGGCCTTGAAGAAGCGGGAGGGGGCCACATGGACCCTGGACCTGCCCGAGGCATGTCCTCACATAACCACAGGCACTGACCCCAAACGGACCATGTTGAGGTCAAGACCCCAGGCCCACTCCACCTTCCCCACCTCCAGGTGTCCGCCAGCTGTTTCCGCCCTTGCGGCCGGCACCTGTGTTAGCGAAATACGCCTTTACCAACCCCCTGGTCCGCAGAGGAGTGTGGCCTACGTCCACGCGTGGTACCAGGGTGCTCCCACTCCTGCCTGCCCCCAGGCCGGCCGCTCCCGTGGAACCAAGCACACAGGACGACATTCAGAAGAGGCGCTGCTGTGGCCTCAGGGCCAGGAGGACACACCTGACAAGGCTGGCCTGCACCACTACTGCTCCAAGTCCATGGCCCTCGGCCAGGGATGGACAGCCAGCCACGCGGGAAGAGGAGACATTTAAATCTTCAGCACCATACGACCAGAAAAAATGTCTTTTCCAATTCAGTGCCAGGACCGATATAGAAGGCCTAAGAACTGGGGTCCCCTAAAATAGAGCGGCAAGGAGCTGCCTCTGGGGGACCAGGAGCTGCGTCTGGGGAGCGAGAACCCACAACCTCTTACCCAGCTGAGGTCACCAGACATGACGCAGGCCCAGCAAACACCCCAGACCATTCCACGGGGAAAAGACAGAGGAGAGAAAAACTTTGACCCAGTGGCCAGGAGCCACGGGCAGGGCCCCCACCTCAGCCGTGTCACCTCACAAATACCCCTATGTACAAATGAGCATCAGGAGTCATGTAGTTAGAAACACAGGACTAAGTCAAAGCCCAGGAGTAAATCTCCGTGACGCTGGGTTAGGCGCTGAGCGCCTCGATGTGACACCAAAAGAACATGCAATAAAAGAGAAGGCTAATAAGGTGACTTAAAATTAAAACCTTCTGTGCATCAAAGGACTCCATGCAGAAAGTGAACAGACAACCCGCGGTGGGAGGAAATATTTGCAAATCATATATCCAATAAGAAACTTGTATCCAGAATATTAAAAAAGAAAAAAAAAACAATTGCCCTCAAGTTGATTCCAACTCATAGTGACTCTATAGGACAGATTAGAACTGCCCCATAGGGCTTCCAAGGAGCACCTGGTGGATTCAAACTGCCACCTTTTGGTTAGCAGCCAAACTCTTAACCACTGTACCACCAGGGTAGAAATGTACAAAAGGCTCCTTAGAAAGGCCAATAATAAAAAAACAGGGTTGAGAGGCACTGGTCGGATTTGTTCTCTTGTGCAAACACGTATGTTAGTAAGTCAGCGAGGGTGGACGCAGTGTGTGCTTAAATCTCAACAGATTCACACCAGGTCAGACGCTGAGCGACGAACACCCATGTGCCGTGAAGCAGCCCGGACAAACACAAGCCAAATGCGCTGCACACTTGCCGTCAGTGAGTCGAGCGGGGAGCAGCAGGCCTCTTCTGCCCAGCTCTGCCAGTGCCAGGCATCCGCCATGCCACGCGTTGTCCGTCTCCTGAAAGCTAACAGCACACAGGAAACCTGAGATTAGTTTTGATTTCAGCTTAGATTCAACTCCCACAGACTGACAAGGAACACAGGCTGGCAGGGCCACATTCTGGGCTTCTAAGCCTCTCTAAAACCTGTTAG